TCTGAGGAACGGGAAGCTGTAAATTGCTTTTCATGTTTCTCAACTGTCCGACTCAAGGGTATTAAACACATGTTTAATCCCTGGGCTGTTTTAGATTGATCATACATAATTTACTATACAATCAGTTTTATCTTCAAACATTATCTTTATTTTTATTTCATTTTATTTATTTGAGGAGGACCATATTCAAATGGAAACCTGAAATAATGTTTCTGTACTTTTTATGAATTTACTTAACTAAATAAATAAATAAATGTTATATAGATTCAGCAATTTAATGTGGTGTTTCATATGGTAACCGTAAAGTATCAGCTTTCGCCTGTAGTTTTCATACCCAGAAAGAAAAAATAAATAAATCATCATTTGTCAATCCAAAATATGTTTGCCCTAGGGGGCAAATTGAAGTAAGCTGCATGGTTTGCAAATATAAAAACAAAATGATGAAAATGTACAACCACACAATAAGTTAATGATACATTATATTGTTACAAAAACATTAACATTAGTTCAGTCAGCCAACTGGCGTGAAATGGATTGCTATGATATATTAAGTGAATGTAGAATATGTACAGCATTCATATTTGGCGTCTAATGTATGACCTCATCACTCCTCTCTACACTGTGGGAGAGACAGTCAGGAGAGAATCTAGGGTCTTATCTCCCCACTCTGTCATTACCCACAAGGTTAGGACAGGGAATGGGAGGGATAACTTCTTCTTAGGGGAATGTAGACTCAGGGGCTAATAGGTGGGTGCTGGAGTGGAGGTGGGGGCTTATGAAAGGTGACCAATAATGGGCGGCGGCATAGCTTTCAGATGAGCGGTGTGGCAACACACATGGCAGCAAAAGAGTGAGCAGAGCACCAGTGGCTCGCCATCATGAAAAGGGTGCGTTGGCTATATATACATACAGATGATTGTATTGTAAAATTACTACTGGCCCATTTGCACTGCTCTGTCTTTTGGTAAGACATTAATGCTTTTGGCTGCATTCAGCATCAACACCTCTTCCTAAAGCAGTCCTCCATCCCTCTTCTCTCTCATGTATATGTTAGCATCTTGTCTTGTCTTATCTGCTTTTAAAATGTGTCCTTCACTAATATAACTAGCCCCAGATTGTAAAATTATGATTTTAGGAATAACAACCTGTGTTTTCTCAAGTGGAGCTGCGGTCAAAGTAAACAATGTGGAGTCAAGATCACTACGTTATCACTGCAGTGAGACTATGTAGCAGACCTAAACATTTTAGTTATGCATTTTAATAAATTTATGAGAATTGATACCCAATTATGAATTCATAATTGAAGATTCATAAAATCAAAATTTTCCTCGTTAAGGGCACCACCGGAGTTGTTATAATCCTAGAGTCTCCGGACCTCTAGGTAGCTTTGAATAATTATACAATTATTACTAGTGATCAGTTAGTTAATAATCGCTCAATTATCTTAAATCAGTCAGTCAGTCTCATATCTAAAGGGTCAATTCTCTTGGCAGGAACTAGAAATAGGCAACACACAGCTCTTGATTATATTACAGTGAATTTATTTTCTAACTAAGGTGATAAAAAGATGGTTGGATACAGGGAACATAAACATTTGCTGAACAATGAGCCTGGAGGTTCGACTGTGAGAAGCATTTGACTCATACGGCATAGAAGAGCTACTGAAAGTAAACTAATGCTGTGATTTTAGGAGTTAAGAGGGGAATATCTGATCACAGAACGTGTGTTAAGTCTTACTGCTTGTCGACAGCCTGCTTTGGCCTGTTGCTGGTCCCACGCTAGCTGCCCGATCCTGGCTTTTTGCTAGGGATTCTCCGGGGTTCTCCGTGTCTAATTGGAAACGCCTCCTCCGTCTGGCAATTTCGGCTGTTTTCAGGTTTCCTTCGTTGCCGTTGGCGAGATCACGTGGCTTGGTCTGACCTCGGTGAAGTTGGCTCGACGAAAAAAGGCTTAAAATGGAACTTGGTCGTTCCTGAATTAGTCCAGTGTAGCTTAACAGACTGATAACTTTAAAAAACAAAAGAAATAAAGAAAATAAAACAAACTGAAGGGCAGATCGATGTCGCGGCACTTCAGGTGTGTAGCTTCAGGCGAACAAAAGGCCTGTTTCGCTGGCCGACTGAGGGCGTTGCCTGGCGAGGCACGCCGACATGTGCCGAAGCGTCCAGCGAGCAGAGCAGAGTGGAAGAGAGCCAACAGCGAAGAGAAGAGAGCGCGCGAGGTCGCGTGTCGCTCTTTTGTTGCCTGGGCCGTGGTTCCCCAGGGGGCGTCTCAGGTTTCCCAAGGGACTGCCTTGATAAACTTAATGTCTAAAAAGAAATCTATTTCCACGTATTATAATCAAATATTTTCCACAATCGAACCTCAATGGTTGAACGGTTGTACTGTTCTAGGCATTTGGTAACAGGAAACAATTGTCACATTATTGGTCAGGATATTTATACATTTAACGCATTTCCAACGAGGGCATGTAATACTTATTTCGTCCACTTGGGGGAGATCAGTTTATATGAGGAAAGCTTGGATTAAATCAAAAATCGTCTCTCCTTAGGAACTGGGAATATTGTTGATTCATCCTTAAATTCAAGCTGGCGATTAAGAGTATAGTAAAACATTTCTTTGTCATCATTTCTAAAGGAATTTTGTAAGAAAGTATTATGAACAAGCATTGATTACATTAGATGAAGGAGTGTCTTGCTGAAAATAAAAACACTGCACAAGTAACTTCTTTTCAGCACTAATATCAACAACAGATAGCAACAACAGTTAACATAACTACTCAAATAGAGGCAAACGTAATCAGGTAACTAAAGATTTAATTAAATGCTTTGAGTCTTTGGAGACTGCAGTCCCTTTTACATTGAAAGTTCAGCTGTCCTGGATCGTGTCACACCTAGGTGAGACAAGGAGTATCCCTTTGATGTGGTAATAAAACAAAGAATAAGGTCAGTTGCCACGGAAACGTGTGTGGGGGGCCAGTTTTGATAGGCTGTTCAGGGAGATGCCAATGGCTGGTTCATGTCCCTTTGTCAGTTTAACAGTCAGGCCCCGCGTTATCAGCTTCGGAATCAAAAAGGTGCCAGTTTTATGGTCGGGATAGCACTTAGAGAAAGCAACTTTGACCCCTCCCCTTCTTCTCTGGGGAGGAGAAAGGAATTTAGGGTAGCTCCAAATTTATTCAATGTAAAATGCACAAATCCACACCGTTGTTCACTACACTATGCTAGTGAGCGTAGCAGCTTACATGAACTGACTGTCCTAAATAGCTTTGCAAAATTAACTACTTAGCTTGTTAGCTTGCTAGTGACAAAAGTGTTTCTTATGTCATGGTAACTAACTGGGGCAAAGCTGCCACATCTGTAGATTCCTTTTACTCTGTGGCAGATTGGTAATGGTGAGGGTCACAAGAAATCTGGGTGGACCCGTACCCTTTCAGGTCAATGTGTCAGCTCAGTACACAGCTCAGTTAACCCAGAGCGGAGTGTTCACCGTCTCCCCATACGAACGCACTAAGACACTCACTGTTGCCCCCCCAAAATGGCACAGTCTTATCTTGACCTGAAGTCCGGGCATTCTGTGCAGGTATAAACTGCAAACTCAGTGTTAAATGAGAGCAGTATTCCAGGCATCCCAAAGTGACAAAGTTGTGGAAACCATGTAGATCACTGCAACAAGACAAGGTTCTGTTTGTCAAGATTGTCTTGAGGTTACTGACAGTGTGAAGTTATCTTTTCAGAAATGTCACTTGAATTGTGTAAAATAAAGTTGTTTATTTGTAGTCTTACCTACCCAATCATTTCACCACTTTTATAAATCAACTCTTTTTTTGGGGCCGATTTTTTGCCTTTGAGGATAGTACAGCTGAAGATAGACAGGAAATGCGGGAGGGAGGGAGGGAGGGGTTGAGAGAGAGAGAGAGAGACATGCAGCAAAAGAGTTTGGGGTAGAATTTGAACCCAGGCGGCTGGTTTAAGGACAACTGAGTGAGCCGACCAACGCCACTCATTTCTCCCCTTTTACAAAGAAACTCATACCACTAAATGGAATTGTAATTAATATTTGCAGTTTTCAAAATAAAAGCGTGTTCCACTGCGCCTCTGTTTGAAATATTACATGATGGATATACACCAGCTTTTGAGGACATGTCTAAGCCAGTCATATATTTACAGTAGCCATTTTTTAAGAGGCAACTGCAAGCACATTACTTGCATATTAAGCACAAAATATCATTTTACTAATACAGCAACGGCACTGTGCTTTTTGGAGTATTTGCCAAGATCTGGGTGAGTGAAGACAGCTGTGTAGCCGGCTGTCAGCAGAACCCACATCTATCTAAAGTGAAGAGGAATGCGTTTAATTAAAAGACTCAAAGATGGTAAAGATCAATGAATGGCACTCTTTGTGTAGCTATTTTGTCAGGTTATATTTAGCAATTATTTGGATGCAAGTTTTCTAAGAGAGTAATATGAAGGCGATTGAAGTTTCAGCACAAATGTCCAGTCTCTGAGATGGGTGGTTGCAACTCACCAGCCAACTGCAGTGTAACCAGATACACACCTCCATGCAAAGAAAGCTTCCTCTCCACAACATTTAGCCTTTTCCTGTTTTATTGCTTTCCATATATTTTCACCTATCTGCTAAGCTTGGTGGATTAAGAAAAAGTGCATTCCAAACCACTTTTTCAAGGATTTAACTAATTGTGTAAGGAAAAGAAACCTCTAGACACACAAAGGTTCTTACCATAACAATGCCAACTGGACAAACGCTTTGACTTATTTTACCCTAATTCTCTCTACCCTAATTCTACGTTCCCATGCTTAAAATTCTCACAATTAAAAGAGGGGTCATTGATGAGGTGGAGAAAAAAAAGTGCTGAAGTAAACAGTTTGTGAGATGGTATAATTTAATTTCCATATCAAAAGCATAATGTGTATTTGAGTGTTTCCAGTGAGTGTTGGGCTGCTTTAGTATTTCCTTTGATGTGGACACATTTGTGTTCAAACAAACACATTATCAGCTCCTCCAGAAGGACTAGACAGAGACTGCTCAGCACACACACCCCTCACCCGGCACATCTTTCTGCCTCTCTACTGCTTTAAAAAGGATTGTCAGATCAGTATATTGACTCTACTTTTCTCTCACTAGGAGTACCAGATCGATATTATCTTCGCCCAGACCTGGGTGGACACCCGTCTGCAGTATAACAGCAGCAGCATGAAGATCCTAACCCTCAACAGGTATACTATATTTAGTGAGGATGTACTGTAAATATACAGCTTTATTTCAAATTGCCCAATATGTCAGCTTTGAGGCTATAGCATGGATACCTATCTATTAATAAAACAGTATAAATATTTTTTTTAAATTAACTGTAACTCCATGACACTGCTGTGAGTCTTTCTTTCCACTATTGTGTTTCAACATTTTCATACTGTGAATATCTCATTTGAGAACAATATTCTTCCCTCTCTCGGGAAGAGGCCTGTAATTAATGGAACAAATTGATTGATGTGCTTTGTTTTCCTCGTGTCGCCCGGGTATTTTATTATCCTCTTATTGGGAAGTGGAGCTGCTTCATGCATTTCAGAGAAATCTGAAGGAGTTCAACAGCAATCATTTCTTACCTTCTGCCCCCTTCTCTCTCTCTCGCTCGCTGTGTCTCTTCTCTTTGTCTGCCTCTTATTCAACCAGCAATATGGTCGGCTTGATCTGGCTGCCCGACACCATCTTTAGGAATTCCAAGAACGCAGACTCTCACTGGATAACGACGCCCAATCAGCTGCTCAGGATCTTCAACAATGGAAAAATACTTTATACACTGAGGTAAAAACCTTCAGAGAAACTGAAAAAACACAGTAGAGTACGATGAAAAGAAACTAAAGACTTGTGTAGAGATCCAACAAAGCTGCATACACAATGAATCAATGGCAGGGAGCTCTATTAGCACCTAACTAAGGGTTTATCTTGTTATTTCACTTTATAGCTTGTTGTCTTCTTGGCAGTAACTGAAAGCATACATTCCAAATTTGGGCACAAGGAAGGGAGCCTGAGTCCTGCAAGCAACAATGTACAAACTCATTAATAAGCAATTATTGGTGCATTTTGCAGATGAATTCAAGCGGCAGTCAGCTTCATAGCATGTCTGTTACAGTGGTTTCTGATAATGTGTCATTTTCACATATTTTTTGTTTTTGAGCTGTACACATAATCACATATTTTAGCTGGCATATGATGTTAATACGGGTGTGTAAAACACGTTTTTTTTCCCTGCTCAAAAATCATTGTAGATATAGTCCAAAATTATGATTTTTGTACTTTTTAGTACAAAAATCATTCTGTGTGTGTCCCTGGGCGGTGTTTCCTTGGTGGAGGGATACATCCTGTTACTGTAGCTGCAAAACACCAGTAGTAAACCTGCACCTCATGTTACCTTTGGCTGAGGTTTTTGCACAGGACATAACAAAGAGCCAGAGCTGGACTCAAACCAGGGGCGCTGAGGTTATGCTTGATGCACACTCAAGGATTTTCAAATCTTAACCAATTTTAAAAACGTGTATTACCACAGAACTAACTATAAGTGTATATTTTAAACACACACACACACACACACACACACCAGACTATTTGGTCAAGATGCAGGACCACACACTTGGCGTTTATACAAAACGATTTCAGAGTGGCGATTGTGGGGACTTCAACGTGACTGTGACTTCAGACATAAACAAACACGAAGGCTGACTGTCGTTGTCAGCTGGTTGCACTTGTGTGTGCTATGTTTTGGACAGAAAAACAAATGAATAGAGAATAAAACTGTGGATGAAGTGATGAACCCGTCTTAGAAGATGCAATCAGCATAGTTTAAAGATTTTATGGCAAAGCAAATGCACGTTGGTGACACTTCCCTGTCAGCTCGCTCTCATTGGCTGTTGCGGTATTGGAGGCTCCCTGATTTCGAATCTTAAAAAATTGGGGGTGCTTCCGATCCAGGCACAAGATTATGTCAATACATCCCTCACACTATAGAATCATTTGGACTGATAATCGGTAATCGGCAATTGTCGGGAGGGGCGAATCAGACCCAAAATCGGCCCAATAATCCTCTAGTGTGCCAGCATTAGGTTGTATGCCTCCTAACCACTCTGCCGTCAAGAAAATTCTAACTACTCATGTTCTGGTGGCTTATTTTAGCTTCTACTTACAATTCATTTTATATTTTTTCCCCTGCATTTCAGTATTGAAATTTGAATGTCTTTTTTTGTATCTTTGCTCCAAAGCCTTCCTTCACCTCCAGCACAGAAGGATAAAAACTTCTCTTACAACATGTCATGTCTTTCTCATCCTTTTGCTGTTCTTTCTGTCAGCAGTAAAGAAATAATACACAGGGAGGGAGGGTGGGTTGGCAGTGTGCGTGGGTCTGTGGGTGCGTGCGTGTGTTTGTGCGCGCCTGCGCGTGTGTAGCCTTATGACAAAATCACCCTCACAGTGTCTGAGTTTACAAAAAAAAACAAACAAATAACCTCAGGATTCGAGTGGACAGGTTCTTTATAAATTTGAGTGACATCTGGGTTTATGAACCCTCAAGCTCTGACATGAGCTTTTTCTGTCTTGAGGATCCAATTTTACCTGTGAATCCAGGATTTCAAACTAGACCTTGGTCAAATAGCAAACACCACCATGAGTGTTTGTTTTCAAGCCCTTGGAGGACTGGATGTACAGTTCCTGCATCAGGAGTAAAGCCATAAAGAGTCGAATCAATCCAATGAGATGAAAAGATCCTCCTCCGACACTTTAGCATTCATTGTATTTGCTATTACTGCCTTCGATTAGTTCTCTGTTGTGACGCCTCTCATTGTGTGCAAATAGTCAGAAGGGAGCGGTGCGGCTCGATGGACAGCCAGCTTTAACATATTCTCTCAAGAAATTCCTCTTCTCATCCCCTAAACTTTCCACAAAATGTTTGGCTTTTAATAGCTACTTTCACTTCTGCTAATGCGTGAAGTTGAAAATGATTGTTTCATTAAAAGGATATTAAGTCTTAAAGAGGCGTATGTTTGGGGGCGTATTTGCATTGACTGATAACATCTTACACTCACATCTCATCGCAGTATTCTTTTGCCATTTGCTCAAGCTCACCTCAGCTCGACGCTCTTGCCCAAATTTATCTTCCTGGCTGCCGACAGAGGTAGAGGTGAGCATGTATGCAAATTGGCAATGTACATCATAGGCACTTTGTTCGCCTACAAACAAGATGAGTGAGGAAACACTCTTCCTGCTACGAATGAGGCTCTTCTTTTGTGCTCTAAGTCAGTCAGCTAATGAGAAACTGTACCGGGGACAAAGACGCAACAACACAGAACAAGTGAAAGAAATGTCCATTTTCATGACAGTTTTATTTTTACAGCTTTTATCATATCCCGTGAAAATTAATTTTAGGATGATATATTGAAGTAACACGCAGAGAATACCAAGTTCGATTCAAGTTTATATTTTGCATGTAAAACTAATCCCCTGTGTCTTTGTGATCACTGTTGCTTTCCCAAAACATCTGGCATATTGACTTGTCCAGTCATCATAGCTAAGTACTCCTGTTTTCAGAAGCTTGCATGCCTTCGGGCCCCGACCTATAAGTTAATGCCGTCTTCAGCAAAAACATGTCTGATGCTGATGCTTAAACAGTTCTGCCATTTTGAGGGATTTCACACATCAACTGAGCAACCGAGTGTGATCCTGCGCCATCTGGTTTGAAGCCAGCGCTTCATATACTGTAGCTTAAAAAGAGTGCATTATGTGATATAAGGAATAATGAATACCGTGCATTCAGCACCACGTGCTTCATAGGACGACCCGAAGGATTTATGGTACCTTGAATGTCTTTGTGTAAGTTTTTCTCTCCCTCCACCTCTCTCTCCCCCCCCCCCTTCTCCAGGATGACCATCAACGCAGAATGCCAGCTGCAGCTTCATAATTTCCCAATGGACGAACACTCCTGTCCTCTCGTCTTCTCCAGCTGTGAATATTGGCAATAGCATGCACACACACACACAGACTAATGTGCATATATTCATGCATAGTGATGCCTATACATGTATTACCTGGTAAAGTCAAGTCTACAGCATTTCAAAGGTTGTTAGGGGGCCCTAAATTGAAGTATCCCAGTTTCAGTGGGAATCATTGATTAGGAGATTGGGTATCAACTACATATATAGGGGGAGCCATGATTTGCATAAAGTACCGTTATATGAGGCATGATGCTGGAGCTTTAAATATTGGTTGCAGACACTTGCTGCTCTCTTGTCTTGTGCTGTGGTGCTTAACTGAGAGCTCCACTAGTTGTAACTTTTAACACGTCTTTTTAATTTGTGTTTCTGTCTCTTTCCATCAATAGTCTCTCAACCTCCATGTGTGGCTGATAAAACAGTGCGGCAGATTTACACCTGCATTTCCCACGACATTAAAATTCAGATGCAATTGAATTTAATGATCAGTCTGTGATAAATAAATCAGTTGCAGCAGCGGCTGTTTTGCATACATTCCCTTTCTCTCCTCCCATATTTTGAACAGGAACGCCTTAAAATACATAGCGCATGAGCCTATGCCTAACTATTTTCAGCTGTAACGCTTTTCTTCCATTTTACTCGAGCACAACTTTGCTTTGGTCCTTTAGGAAATAAGTATAGTATGGCTATAGTATATGGTTTGGCTGTTAAGCCCATTAGCAGGGCTGCAGCTCCAACACATTCTCATCTCAGGAAGTTAAATACCGATGCTTTGAGAAAGCGTGACAAAGTGTCGGTATTTGACGCAAAAGGTACCCTTCAGTGTCCTATGAGATTCCTTTTTAATATGTGATGTATATGCAGTTTGGTTAGGTATAGGCCACGAAAAAGTACTTGGTAAGGTTTAGGAAAAGATAATGGTTTTGAATAGGTTCAGGCACCAAAACTACTTGGTAGGTTTAGGAAAATATTGTGTTTTGGGTTGCAATAAGTACGTTACGTAACTATGTGACGGCAGATGGGTAACATTGGTGTTAAAAGCCCAGGGCGTCTCATGCAGACACTGAAGGATACCTTGTGTGGCAAATACCGATGCTTTGTCACGCTTTCTCAAAGCGTCGGTATTTGGCCAAGAAATCGACAGAAGGTAACATTGAAATATTAATTTACTTGTAGTTCTCGTAAATGATACATTTAATTAAATCTTAAGTTTAAGTTAAATTACAAATAATTGAACAGTAGGTTATCAGCACCTGAATCTTTTCTGGGAATCTGTTGTGTCAACATCTTCTGTGGTAGAAGGAAAAGAAGGGTTCAGATTATAGTTCTGCCTCCACACGGCTCATCACACTCAGATGAGAGATCATGGAGAGGATGAACTTAATGCAATGAGCCACTAATGACTCTAATGATGAGAGCTTAGAGTAATGGCCACACAGACGGTTTAGTTAAAATGGTTTTTTGGTAAGTAAGTAAAAGGTGTCCACAGGAGACAGTTCCAAAGTTTGGGGACCATAACTTCAAAGGCACAGTCTCCTATACTTTTGCGTCTGGAGCAAGAAACAGGCAACAAACCCTGATCAGTGGACCTGCTGGTGACATAAAGTAGGGCAGCAGTGAGCAGGTGCCTGACCATGCATAGCTTTGTAAGTGATCACAAGAATCTTGACCTGGATTCTGAATCTGAACAGGAGTCAGGGTGATAAATGTAATAACAACGTAAATAATAGCAATATTGCTATGCTGAAAAAACAAAACAAACACTTCCCACACTGGTCTGGAATCAGGTGTTACTTTTGACCAGGCACTATGTTCAGACTGAAAATTCAACAGATAAAGAAATGGAACCAAAGACGAGGCAGGCACATGCATAAATGAGTTTTATCAACATTAGCATTCCGTCACGGACGTGTAGTCACATAAAATAGGAAATTCTGTCATATTTTGATGGTTTAACTGTTCTACTGTCTAAAAGAAAGTTTACATGAAGGGTTAAGAAAGTCTTAAGTCTAAAATATGTCATCAGAGTACCAAAATTGGCAGCATATCCCAGGAGATACAAATATATAAAAATAAAAATAGATTATTCAAGCTTTTATGTGCTGGAAAATAATGACTACATTGTATCAGCTATCCCTATGTTCTTGCACATTTAAGGGGTTGGAGGAATGAATGGCATGATGACTGCATTAGCACTGCCAATGGCTTTATGCTGGTATGAAATGAGAGTCCTCAAAGCGTTTACTGTTCCATTAACCAGTGCCTTATTAAGTTACCCACCACCTAAAAAGCACTAAAATCACATTGGAGTTTGTAGGCCATTTGTAGGTCATTCTGTTGGACCAGACATCTTCCACTGCTGGATATGATTTAATTTGGGTAATAATCATTACCTGATGTGACTACAGATGGCATTATTCGTCTCAGGCCATTATTAAACCTCCTCTCCACATTGAGTTCGGATAATCAATTAACTACTTACGAGTAAATACACAATTTGTTCATAGTGTGATGGGACGAGAGGTCATAGCACTGTGCGTTGTGAAAGAGCTATTGACCCCAAATGTGCTTCCATCATATATCTGCTCTCAGTGAAATGATTTGCAGTAATAACTTTTTTTTGACACTTCTTGACCACCAGAATTTTAAGATCAGAGCAAGATCCCTTGATAATTAAGGAACAACGGATATTCAAGTAAACTAAAAGCAACTTTAAGAGGTTTAATTACCTCTCAGAGCGGGACACAAGCTTCTTGATAAAAATAACAAAAACTTTCATAACATCTGCCCGTTTAAAAACGTCCACAGCATTTTACTTTGTATATATGAACATGTCATATCTCTGGAGACAGCAGCACAGACATCCATATCTGCACATATGAGTCAACTCTTTTGGAAAATGTAAAGCTGCTCTCCAGATTTCCATACGACCCTGATGAGCTATTCATCCATTTAGAAGCTCTAAAGAAACTCTTTCCATCACGCTTCGTTTTACAACATAGCCTACAATCGACACATTCTGTGGCAGATGGTTTGGTTTCGCTGTAGGAGGAGGAGAGAGGGAGACAATGCAGACCAGAGGTGACTTGTAGTCCTTTCTCAGTCAGGGTACATCAGGATGACATCTGATAATGAAGCCGCATTTGGTGCTCACTTTTTTCCAGCGTCCAAACACATAATCCTTTCTCATACACTGGAACATCCACTGTTATCAACCTCTCTTGCCACTCAAGGCGTGTGTCTGTTAATGTATTATGATACTGTAGCAGCTTAATGTACAAGGCTTTTAAAATGTTCCATCTCTTCATCATGAAGCAAATTAGAAGCCTCCCCATTATGGCTGCAATCAATTTCATTTATTGAGATAGAACACTATAAACATGATAAAAGGCATTGATGGCCTCACTAATCTTACTTATTCATTAGGAATCTTTTTTGATAGCAGACATATTCGTGACAGAGGAGCTTGTAAGCTGCTGTATCTTTCTTTACAGTTTTTTCACTGCATAATATGTAAAAACAAAATAACATTTCTGAGAACTAGTGAGGGGTGATATCTGGCTGAGTGCTGACATTAATTACTGAGGTTGGACCCAAACGTAGGACACTACAAAACGAATATTCAATTAATTTATTAAAATCAAACAGAAAAATTGGCTTACATGTGCAGTTGTGTGCAGAAGTCCAGTAATAGGTAAATCCACAATAGTTGCTGAAGTTCCACCGAGGCGGAAAAAAACAGCAAAAGTCCAAACACAGGGAAGAATCCAAAACTAAACTGAGGTCCAAACGTCAGGGGACCACTCAGTAACACAGAATTAATTACAAAACATACATGAGCAGGGAGGGAGTGAACAGGTGAAACACATCAGCTAATCAATGGGGAGACGCAATCAGGAAACAAAGTGGGACAATGAACACCAGACACAGGCAACTTAAGAGTAAACCATTAAGTAAAACTCACATAAAACACCAAATCAACAGAACAAAACAGAGAACATGGAACTAACGAATGAGAACACAAAGACAGGGAGGGATAAATAATAAACTAAAACACACAGAGGAAGAACTTGAGCTAGAATAATACTGGAAAACACTTTACATCAATACCAAAACACAAGAAAAAACCTATAACCACAACATGAGATCAGTATAAAAGCCATGAAAAGCCTTGACTATGATTACAAGCACTTTGGACTCATGCAGTTACCCACCTCACAGGCCTAGCCGCAATCTCTTTCTAAATAACTACCCATGTGGTGCTATTTTGTATGATATATGCATTTTTACTGCACATACCATCACATATGAACAATAGTATTTGTGTCAGATAAATGCTGGCTATCATTGCAGGCCAGCAGGTTATTGGCTGTGTGGAAGAAACTGCAAAAATATTTTTAAGTTTTTAGAATTAAAGTTAGATTTAGATGCACACTGATATTAGCAGCTTGAAAAGTAGTAATAGCTTAATGTGACGCTAACAAGAGTCAATGAAGTTAAGGTAGACTTGAATGTAAATTGTTATGTAATGATGTCACAGCTACGTTATCAAACAACATCTAGCACCTTTTCAAGTTGGCTTCAACTACTGTGCACTAGATGTCTAGATATCACTAGAGGTCTATCATTTTAGCAGACCTGATACTACTTTTTGCTACCTACTATCAAACACAAAATGGCTCAGTTATACCAGTTGCAAAGTGATCCCTTCAAAGTAAAAAAAATGCAGAATGCACCAAATATCAGTGCTGTTGAAACAGGTGAGTCATACATTTAAAAATGTAATCAGCAGTTCAAAAAAGATCAGGACCTCCATCAGGACCGCCACAGTTGTTGCATTATTTGAAACGCCACTGCAGGGGTTTTTGAATGGTCAATCACAAGAAGTTGTCACTCAAATATTTGTGTTCTTCACAGCTTTGTTATTTTCATTTTGAAAACCTCAGCTAAAAATGGACTTTTGTTAAACTTTTTGGGTTTCAGTGCAGAAAGCATGCTGAATGCTTACAGTTTAAACATATTCCCAAAGCCGTTGACGCTGGAAATAAACTGTTAGTGACCTTCTACACAGGTTTGGCTGTTGAAAAGAGTCGCTAGGATAGGTGGGAAAAAATTGTGCTTAGAGTCAGCTGTTTTTTTCCCCCTCACTTTATGATAAGTTATCTTTACTAAAAACACTGTACAAACACTTTCGGACAAGGGGAACAACTCTACATTTTAACAGAAGTCCTCTTACATATATACATACACACATACGTACATATACCCACATGCATACTGTAGATAAGCATGGTTGCCATACTTAAGACAATGAAATGAGCTGTAGAGAGTTTGGAAAACCACATAAAACTATTCAAATTAGGATTATCCAGATATGGTAAATTGTTATCAAGAAAAAAAGAGACAATTTCACTTGTTATCCTACATTAGTGCCGCGGGGTGTGAATCTTTGGTTCCGACTGACATTGTCGATTCTGGTAATTTGATTGGTGCAATGTATTTGTGAGCAGACTGTGTAATATTGCTTCAATTCTAACGCCCACACAGGCAGTGAACCAGCTGGGTGGCAACACTGTTGGCCGACGTAGCCATTTCTTAGACGCATCTATGATTGATGATCAATGTTCATAATATGAAAAATATGCTTACACAAAAAGTGAGGAAATTTCAGTTTCACTTTAAATCCCACAAGTCTCTACTGACATTATATTGTTTCCACTGGCAGATGTCCTCACCGGACTTAGATTACAGCAATATGGCAGAAACTGACATCCCTTGACGTCTTTGCTTGGAGGGTAGACAGGGAGAATATCAGAGCCAAGGCCACAGAAGAGTGTAATGTCTAACACTGTGTGAGAACATGCTGCTTCGGGGGGATTTTAAATGCATAAAATGTGACAAACATTTTGTAGCTATGAAGATACACCGGTAACACAATGGTAATACTGTTTGCAGTTAAGATAATTGTGCATACACACCAACAGAAATATGATGGCAATAATGTTTGCCATCTATATTAGTGCTTGAAAAAACACCTCTATTGCATCATGGTGATTGCTCTTCTTGGTTATAGACGGCTATCCTCTAAATGAGACTATTTACATAATTAGTTTGGTTTCCACTACAGGGCACAACAAGGCTTTCCACTCGCTCATTATTGCTGCCACTCATTTTAAAAATTGCTTCAACTTGTTAAATGAGCTCAGCTTCATTATTACACAGAGACATTGGTGATGTATTAGCTTTCACAGAAATTCCACATTTTGTGCTTGTGTTTAACTGCTGCACCCAGCGAGGAACTGCATGTGAAATCCTGCAGTCACGCCCAGGATCAGTACACTACCAAGTGGCTTTCAAGCAGGTCATTCTCCTCGGCTCCTCCATGGAAAAGTGCTTTCACTCGTCACTGAAGTCTAACAATAGGCTTGTCACAGAAGTATATGGAAGATGCAAACACTATAATCGTACACTTGAAAAAATATCCATTTATATAAAAACAACATCAAGCCGTTTCATGAAGTTTTTCTTTAAAGTAGCCTTTCCTTTTCCCACCCATGATCACAGTATCTTGCAATAAAGCAGACTAATATAATATGATTGAAGAGGATCCTTAAGACCAATTGAATTGTAGCCTGCTTGTAGAAACAGGTGGAATTATTCCACTGAAATTAAGATTTTAAGACAAAATAAGACATTGAATTACATGAGAGAGTGGGTATTCGTTCACCAGTGGATTCCAAGCAAACAAGTTAACAGTAAGTGCTCACTCGGTCTGCAGTCCACTGAATTGCCAATGAAAACTCACTGCACAAATTTGTATAAATCATGCACAAATCAGTATTAAATCATGCATAGAATAAAAACTGCATTGCTGTGTTAATCGTTCCTGTATTCTTTGCCTTAAACTGCATTCTGTCTCTCTCTCTTTCACACACTCTCTGTGTGATTTCTAGATGGCTACCCCCGAGATGAGATTGTGTACAAGTGGAAGCGAAACTCAGTGGAGACGTCGGACCAGAAATACTGGAGGCTTTACCAGTTTGATTTCATGGGGCTCAGAAACACCACAGATGTGCTCTCGACAACAGCAGGTAAGAATGGCGTCAACAAGAGGTCGAGGAAAGGTCACAACTCTGGCAGTTGAGTCAAAAAAAGCATGCTGAGCGGTTGAATTTCAAAGCGTTGTGACTTATGAATTTTTTTCCACTTCCACACTACCCTCCGTAGAGGTCAAAGGTCAGTTTCGGCTGCAGACTAGCAGCTGGAACTGGCAGGAGTCTTGCATGCTGGGTTCAAAATAAAACTCTCTGCCCCAAGGTTTGCACAGGTTCACATTAGAGCCATGCCCATAAATGTAATCATATAACTATAAGCTCAAAGCTCATAAGTATTCCCCTCGGGTGTAAGGGCAAATAGGTTTTTCCACTGACATTAATCACCAAGATTAAAGATTAAAAAGAAAGTTTAATTATTCACTCATTTTCCTTCTTCCAGTGCTTTCAGTGCAGTTCTTATGCCTTGTCTTCTTTGATTATTTAATTTAAGTTTCTTGTTTGGGAGGCAGTGTTATAATGTTGCTCCAACAGGTGCCAGTAATTATACCGACAACTGGCATGGGGTGGACAAGTTGCTAATACATTTTTAATGCTTTCACGTGACCCTCGAAGACAAAGACAGATTTTAATGGCTCAATAAGTTAATCATCATAAATGAGGGAGATAGAGAAAGAGCATGACGCAGCAATTGTTAACCCCTCTTAACCTTGTTTATGAGTTGCATATTCGTACCATACAGTCTTTTGTCTGTGGAGAGACATGCTCAGATCTGCATAATGTGACCTCATTCAGATTTCTAAGAGTTGAACCTCCGTTCATGAATATTCAAGGGACAGGAGTACTTGGGATGATTAGGAGAGGGATAACAAGGAGTGGCATCAAATTATTAAGGCGCTCAGTGGAAATTAGTTGTACAGCTTCATTTTGCAAAATGTGAAAGCATGGGCGTGTTTGTTCCAGCACTCAAATGTGACATAGCTAAAATCAAATATATTATTCTTTGTAACTAACAGCATGAACAAATTCTGTTGTCTGTTTAACTGCATCACCCGTTGGGAATACTGATCAGGCATCCTGTTTAAATCTAAAGAGAAACTGCCATTGTATCTTTGTTCCTGATCATACAAAAAAAGCTGACTGATGAGCACACTCATCCAGAGACACATTGATGGCCTTATAAATTAAATGTTTTCCTGGACTCCCGCTGCATCGTCAAAACACAGCCAAACTAATTTTCTGCTGAGATGCTCAAAGGCAACGGCAAACCTACACATCTACCTCATGCTGTTCAAGAAAATTAGCCGTTTTCTCATTTATTACCCCTTTCTTTTTCCTGTTTCACTTGCCGGAGCTCCATCTCCACACGCATGATGATTAGATCCCAAGCTAAAAATACCTATCATTAATTTACATCATGACAAACTTCGAAAGTGCTGTGTTTCTGTTTCTCTTCCTTTCTCTCTCTCTCTCTCTCTCTCCTATTTCCCTCTCTGTATGTGTCTCCCTCTCTCCTCTTTTTATCCTTCATCCCTTATAAACACATGAGGTATGGGGCTGTTTTAATGAGGACAGAGTGGACAGATCCCAGGCCACAGCGCCACTGGGGACCCCGCCGCAAATCCGCCGTCGTTATCAATTCAGCGGAGTCCTCTTCAAAAGGCCCCAATGCGAAATCCCAAACACTTCACTGCTTTGTTCTACCATCCCATCGCAAATTCCCCAAAAGCTTCCATTATGCCTTTTTCTGCAGTTACGTTGCATAAATGCTGATGCTCGTCCTATTTTCTCCCTTCACATGTCCACCCTGGAAATGAAGAATCTGTAGCAAAATTGCATTTCCATGCCTTGTTCTCTGATTGGATCACAGATCACAATACTGATATTCCATTTGATGTTCCTTCTCTACTCAATGAATGAAATCCTACTTCCTTTCACTGCAGTCAATAACCTGCTGACCACAGATCACATGAAACTGATGAAAGTATTACTGCATGCAGACATGACCAGGTATGCAGTTAACTAAAAAGAAATGCATCAATTCACCATTCAATTAACCTCACCCTAGAGCAGCTATTATCCAATCATAGTTTAGCATTTATAACTAGACAGCATGCCTGTCTAGCTTTGGATTTCTTCAGAAGTTGAAGCGGTGCACATGGGGCTCTAATAACTACTAAGCATTTAAAGAGTTTGAAGGCTTTTAAGCCTTTCCAGAACCAAACACACAAGAGCAAAATTGTAAGGAAGGGAATTAAACATTGTGTTTATCTGCTCAAGGCAATTGTAAGCATGTTGGGTTAACTAGCTTACCTACAGTAGTAACAGAGTGTTACTTCCAAGGCCAAGTAGCATCCTAGGTTATGTTAAAAAAAAAAACTTTTCTTGGCTTACACAAAAACTGTGTAATAAAATTTGTATAGAAGCAGATGCTATCAGAGTATTAGCTTATGTTAGCGGCTGTAGCATTACATTTACCAAACATATAGGTAAATCCTCAGTCTTATATTTCGCCTTGCCATACTTACTGTGCATTCATGTGGTGTCGGAATTATTGGAAAGATTATTCGTTCAAAATTCACGTGAATGCCCCCTGAAGTTCAGAAAGTCTGAGAAAATTTTGGTACACAAGTTGTTGACGTCATACATAGAAACATGGCGGACAACATGGTTGATGGTTAGAAAGGTATGATGAATGGTGCGAAATCACGTATTTCATATACATTTTTTCCTACCATGTCATTTGTAATATGATATTAGGTTATAATGGTTAGTTTGCTGTGCATGTAGAGTGACCTAGATTTATTATGAAAGTTATTTATTTGCAGTATTTGCAGTACAAACAAATAGGTCGATTATCAGCAGCATCACCTCGGTCACCTACAACATTGCCAAACACATTTCTACCATCTTAGCTCCCTTGGTGGGTAACACGCCACACCACATCCAAAACATTGATTTTGTAAACAAAGTTCAAGGACTGAAACTGGACCCAGATGAAACCATGGTGTCCTATGATGTGACCTCTTTGTTCACCTGCATCCCCACCATGGAGGCAGTAGAATCCGTAAGGAAATGGCTACTAAAAGACAACACCCTGGACAACAGAACCAGCCTCACCCTGACCAGATCTGTAAATGACTCTACCTCTGTCTAAACCACCTATTTCCAGTACAACTGAGGATTCTACAGACAAAAGCATGGCTGTGCAATGGGCTCAGCAGTGTCACCCATTGTGGCAAACATCTACATGGAAGAAGTGGAGGGAAAAGCCCTCAACTCCTTCAGAGGAACAGCACAGAGCCACTGGTACAGGTATGTGGATGACACTTGGGTCAAAATTAAAAGTGTAAGCCTTCACCGAACACATCAACTCCATGGACAGTAACATCAAGTTCACAAGAGCAGATGTCCACAACAACAGTTTAGCTTTCCTGGACTGTGCTGTACACATTGAAGAGGACAGGAGCCTGCAAATTGGGGTTTACAGGAAACCCACACACAACTTACCAATTCTTACTTTTTGATTCCCACCACCCACTGGAACACAAGCTATGAGTCATCAGAACCCTGCACACAGAGCAGACCACATAACAACAAGTGCAGAAGCCAGACAGAAGGAACAGAACCACCCTAAGAGGGCACTTACAGCCTGTGGATACCCTAAATGGACCTTTGAGAAAAAAGCCACAAAATCCAGGAAGAAGACCAACACTACCGGGGATGAGGAGAAGAAGGTCAAACGCAACAACATTGTGATTCCATACGTGTCTGGAGTATCAGAGAAACTCAGGAGGATTTTCGTCAAACCCAAGAACACGAACCATGACGACTGTCGTTACAACAGTCAGGAGCACTAAGGAACCAGCGGTATCAACGATCCTAGCTAACGATCCCACAGAGGTTAAATAGCTGAGTTTCCCTACCAGTCAGTCAGAACTGAAGAAGTCTCTTGGATGAGGGACGAAACACCTTCTATTTTTTTCTTCAACCAAGTCCAGGTGCCCTTGACCCCAACTTCATTGGATCATTACAACCTGTACACGCAAACAAAGACATGCACAAAACCTTGTACTGACACATTGTTGGGGTTTTTTCTGTATCTGCGTTCACATAGGAGTAGTGTGAAAAAATAGGTTGAGGGGTAGAGGTCGTGGTCATTTCTGTGAGATCAGGTTGCAAGGTTTATGTGCTATGGTGAGTGCCATGCGAGTGATGGCTGTGTTTAATTATCGATGTCTGAAATGTTGGGGGTTGGAAGACCAATTATTTAGGAGATAGAGTGTGTAATAGAGGATAACTTGCTCTTGTTGGAGAAAGATGAAGAAGGAAGCAGCAACAACATTTTAGCTGAATTGCCATGAGCTCATTAATAAAACAGTTTTCCCAAGAAAAATCTTTGCAACTTCCAAACAGAAAGTAGACCTGACTGTATGGCATGACAGAGTCTGTCGACAAGTGTAGAGCGGGCAACTCGGACTAATAAGTATTCTGCAGGGGCGTGTAAACAGAGGGGTTGTTACTCTCCAAACAGAATGTAAACAGAGGGGTTGTTTGCTATGATGCACGGTATGAGCACAGAAGTCACCACGCTGCTGTGTGTATGCACACAGCCACAGATAGTCCATCTGAGATTGTTCATTTTTTTCAGCCCCCATACAGTAATTAATGCAAGCGAAACAGTATAATACTGGTATAATACTGCAACATTTGCAAAATAAAACTGTGCATAATGATGCTTATCTTCTGTGCATTAAATTGTCAAAGGAAACATTCTGTCAGCAGAAGAGTGGATGTGAACTATGTCTATCTTGGTCTGCTTCTGTCTTGCATTTAGAGGGAGAAGGAGAAGAATCATTCAAGCTCCAATTAATTGTTATTTTATTTACCCCTATTGGTATATAAATTAAGTTGTTTTTTTATCTCACCACTATGTTCCAATTCTAACACGCTTTGGATTGCTTTAGAAGCACACACACTTTATCTACATAAATGGGTACATAAAACTGGACAGTTTTATTTTGTTAAGTAGCAAAGTACTCTGATTTGATTCTGTGCTACTGTGTTGTGATTAAGATTTCCTTTGTTGTTACATTGCTTTGGAGATTATTAACCAGGTAATTTGCATTAGTCTTATACAGTACAGTCAACTAATATGTGATTACATGGTTTCTGCCTTAATGGGCCATATTTATACAATTCCTTTCTTTAGAGCATTTCTGTATGGATTTACAAGGATTTACAGAATTGACTCTATATGAATAAAAAGTAATTAAACGCACCACACATCTTATCTCAGCTTTCCACATCCACTCACTACATCGTTATTCCCCAATTTGCTCACCTGTCACCTGATTCTTCCAAACCCTTGCCACTGGGCAGCAAAAAAATTAAGAAAAATTATTCTGGCATTTTGGTGAATGACCATGAGCAGCAGACATTTTGGTGCCCTATGCGAGACATCCACTCTGGGTGATTGTTTCACTCTAATATTTCATAATTATTATCAGAACTCAATTATAATCAACATCAACAAATAGTCTTTCAATTAGCACCTTTACATGCACTCTCAGTCTCACCCTGGTTTCAATCATGTTCAGGATATGATTTTAACATCATGCAGGTTCCTGATTGTCCATGACTCATGTACTGAGGCGCAGTTATCATCAATGTCAGGCTTTCACTTGTGGATGACCTGACCATATTAAATAATTCAGATTTTTTCTAAATTATACAAACTTAGCCTACTGTGCATTATCGATTTCACATACCTCAATGTGGCAATCTTGAACATGAGCACCTTGGGAAATTTGTGTTTATATTTTAAATTCAGTGTTTAGATCTTTTGTTCAACTAATTAACTAATGCTTGAGTCAAAAAGTTTTGAAATCCTTGTAGTAGACGACTTCAGCCTGCAGCCAAGAACTGACTGCAGTGGCAGCAGCTTATTCCTTCAGGGAAATTGCGGCCATCAAAATTACGTCTACAAAAAGTGCTTCTTTTTGCCACCGACTGACTCCAGACTTTTGTTTTTTAACAGGAATCAGAAGTCTCGCTCTAGAACAATTCTCACTCTGTAATCTTGCGAGTTGTTACAGGAAACGCCGAAGAACTGCTAGCAAGACATGTGTTTCTCCAATGCAACAAACCCCTCTCTCCAACTTTGACTCACGTTTCCACGGGCATCTTCCTGCAACAACAATCTTGCGAGATTTCAGAGCGAGAATTGTCTTTGAGCTACTTCCGTTTCCTGTTAAAAACAAAGGGTGTCACCGAGAGTCACTCATAGTGATCCTATGTACATCCGCCGAAATACGTGAAAATAGGGCCTAGATATATCCTTTAATACCAAAATGATCCTTTAAGTTGAGGATGCACCAACATTCTTAGTACTCCGGTTATGATCATGTTATAATATGATGTTAATATAGAACACAAGTAAGCTGGTTATGCATTTCACTGCATATGTGACTCGCATGATGAGCAAAATAAGCAGTAGCCTGCAGTTTCAATGAATAAAATGACGAGTGTCTTCTCCCAATAGAGTGTCCCTCTACAGAGTCTACCTGCAGACTGCTCTCAGCATCAGGTGCTGAGTGTAGTGTCAGAGGTGGGTTTATTTAACAATAAAAGGCTGCATTGTGTGAGTTTGACAGAGTTTTAAAAATAGAAAGAGGGCCTGAAATTAATTAATATTACTAATAAAATCTTCTTTTTTGGCAGCCCTCCAGCTGGTGGCACATGATGGCCCTAAATCAACAACAAAAAACTGGAGGAACTGTGCAGATAACCATTACATGTACTGCACTGATACACATTTGCAATTGTGTAAGTGATAAACACTGTGACAATGACGCTGGTGCACCTGGCGATTAAAATTATTTCAATTCTATGTAGAGCATGAAGTGAGATTCGGCATCTGAGCAGAGGGCAAAGGTCTTCCTCTGCATATGTTTTATTCAAACCGGCTTCCTTTTCATGGAAATGTCTGAGTGGCAGCAGATTATCAAAAGACATTCTTCAGTAATATTTAAAGTAATGCTTGTCGGATGCGTAGAACTTTGTCAAGGTTACAGAACAATGGCTTTTGTTCGCCAAGTGTTGTAGCTCAGTATCTCCCTGCTGCTGTCAATTAACGCTCGCAATAACAAGCATCCTACTGTAGTCGGACCATTAAAGAGGCAGCCGAATACATTCTGTCACTCTCCTCGTGTTTCTTCCCCTCACACCGACAGTGCCATTGTACAGTTGCTCAAGTTAGAGAGAAGTTTCTTCCTCTGTAGTCTGGGCTCCATTAAGGTTTCTCTCCCCTTTTTTCTCTCTTACTGTCCTCTGCTCTCTTTAAATCTTATTCACCTCATTTCTTTTCCAGCTATCTCCTCTCTTTCCTGTCTCCTTGTCTTTGTCCCCTCTGTCTGCCTGCCTGCCTTCCCGTTTGATCCAGATTATCTCACTTTAAGCAATTATAGACCTAATTTCAAACTATCAGAGGAGGAACTGAACACTTTTCTGATGCCTTGTATGACCAATAATAACAACTTTGACACATTTCAGTGGAGTTTATCGGCTCTTTGGTGAACAGAAACGGTCTTAGTTAAAGATACTTAAGAAGTTTGATCTTAGTACAGCGTTAGACACTTCTGACAATCTCATTAGAAAACTGGACAGACGTCTCTCTGAAATGGTTTCAGTTAAACTCTAACAGAAAATGGTTCTTTGTGTGTGGGATATTCTCCAGGGGTCATTCCCCGGCTGGGTGCTACACCTAGATTCTCTTCCCAAACATAATACACAGATCTATCCTCTCATAAAATCTACTGATCTGCTTCTCTGATAAAATGCAGGATAATGGTTCTGGCCTCTGTTTTGATGACCAAGTTAAAAGCACGGCACAATGTAGCCTCCAGCTACATAGCAGACCTTTTAATTACTCGTGAGCCAGTGTGCTGCTTCAGATCCTCAGGGATGGTGGTCTGTAGTTTATGGGTTGATGTCTAATGTCTAAGTGTAACTTACAAAATAGCAGCCTGACCTTGAAGTATGATGTAACTTAATACAACAGACTCTGCAGTCACACAAGCAGCCCTGTGAGCTAAATGCTAATGTCAGCATGGTAACATGCTCACTGTGACAATGTTAATGTGGTGATGTTTAGCAGCTACAATATTGACCATGTTCATCATCTTAGTTTAGTGTGTTAGCATGGTCATATTTGCTGAATAAATAATAATAAAATAGAGTTTGTCTATGTAGCACTCATCAGAACCAGAGATTATGTTCTTTAAATGGAAAAAAGATGAAGAAAATTAAAAACAAAATTAGCACTTAACACAGCTGAGGCTGATGGGAGTGTCATCCATTTTGCAGACCTGATAATGGCGGTGCTAAATGCTAGTTAGTGACGTTAAAGGATATTCATTCATCCTGAAGGAAATCTGAATGTACAAAGCAAGGTTATTATAGTTTGCATTTTACATTTCTTTTTATTTTGTTTTTATTTTGTTTTCAATTTCAGTTTACTTTACGGATTTGGCTTGTTCAGTTTAGTTTTTAATTTTTGAAAATGCTTAGTTTCAGTTTAGTTTTTATTAGTATTAGTATACTAAGTATACTATTATACTATAGTCTCAACTGTAGTATAATAATATACTATAGTAGAATAGGGCTGTGAATGCTGGGATAAAATTAATGGCAATCCGTCCAGTAGTTGTTGAGATACTTCAGACTGGACCAAAGTGCTGAATCAACAGATCGGCATCCCAGGAGCAATGATGCTGTATTTATTATACGGTTATCTCTTTATTGCAGTTTTTATACTCCATTTTCTCTCTCTCTCTCTCAACAGGTGACTATGTGTTGATGACAGTGTACTTTGACCTCAGCAGAAGGATGGGATACTTCACCATCCAGACCTACATCCCCTGTATCCTGACTGTGGTCCTCTCCTGGGTCTCCTTCTGGATCAAGAGCGATGCCACGCCTGCAAGGACGGCCCTAGGTACACAACTGCCAGTGTGACTGCATGGGCAACTGTGGGGAACATTACTTCCTTTCATAAAGACCTGTATAACTTAAACCTCCTTGGGAGCAGTAATTTGTTGCAGTATGATTTTTCATTATATTGCTTTTTGTTAACACCCACCAAATATGCAGATAATTCCTTTCTTGCCTTTGAATGATCAGCATGGGAATAGTGATGTCCAGTGTTTTGACATCTATTTGCTTTAATTGAAGTGATGGGACTTTCACCAGATAATATACTGCTCCCTGCCACTGCTCATTCAGGCTGTAGCTGTGTGAGTCTAATATGAGGGAAATGAATCAGGAGTTTGTGGCAGGATTTAGACCTTTTTTGATCATTCCTGTTCAATCTGACATTTGGACAGCTTGACAGCAAAAGCAATAATCTCTTTTTTTGATTGGTAACTGCAATATCATTACTCAGTCTTTGTTGCTGTAGTTATTACCGGCAAAAGCAATCATGTTACTGGAACATTTGCACATCGCTCAACATTGTTGTTGAGTTAGAGAAGACAACAAATGAAGAACAAGATATCTTTTAACTCTGTGTGTGCGCTTGTGTTATTCTTTATCAGCCATTCACAAATGCATGTTTCACAGTACTTAAGCTGTGCATACAGCCATCTTTGAAATGTATGTCCCATCAGTGTTGTTTGATTCTTTATCATCCTTTATTGTGGTGTTAATCTTACTTTTTTTGCATGTGTTGACCATTATTTTGAATTGTTTTCCTCCCCCACTGCATGCCTACCATTAAGTTAATTTGCTTCCCTGTGGATGATGATATTGTGCTGATGGTCGGTATTTAAGGTGGAATTCAAGGTAAGTGTCTGACAAGTTCATGTCCATAATGATTTGTATAGAGTGAATATATATACTGCATTTATCCAATATGCAAATTAAAATATTACCTTAGGCAGACTATCCAGTTTGCAACTAATGATTTAATATTGTTCAAACACTGTTTATACCCACAGAACCTTATTTTACATTTCAGTGGATATTGCAGAATTAAAAAAAAATAATTGTCTGGATTTAGGGAGAATAAGCTAAAAATCCAACCTGAATATATCACTTCCTGTAAACATCATATCACTTTAATAAATACTTAAGTATTATATATTCAATAGAATATGTTCAATACTTCAGGGGTATTAAAGGATATTAAAAGGATTTTTAAAGATTAAACTGTTATGGGAATAATATTGAAGATGAAAAGGGGCTGAAGCCAAAAAATACCACCTTGGTTCATCATCACTGAGCTGACTGATATTAACTCTAAACACAAAGTACAGCAGAGGCTGATGTCACGGATGTCATCCGTTTTGCAGGAATTTGGTCATAAATCAAAAGAAAAATTTGGATCCAATGATGCTGCTAGATGAAAAGTGACATGAATATCTGTACCAAGTTTTATGGCAATTCATCCATCCACCAAACTGAATAACCAACAGACTGGCACTACCATCCCTTGAGCCATACCTCTACCTAAAAATAGATTCAAACAGCAGTAAAACAAAAGCTTGCAAACATGACAAAAGATTATAATAACACACATTTCTCACAAAAGCAGCCTGACCTCTGTCTAATTGCTAATTTTCTTTTCTGATAACCTCCACAACAATAAATGATACCTTCATGTTCCATGGCTAAGCCTCCCACTACGCCATTTGATCATTTGCTATAATCCTAATTACGGTTAATGACTAATCATTCCATAGCATAGGTTTATTTATTTGATAGAATGTAATGGCAATAAATTTAACTGTTGTTTTCAGCCATAATGCCAACACAGAAAACAGGGATTTGGGGCCCAGATGCTGACACTTAGAGACAGAGGGATATTTAGTGAGGGTTTTACTGAAGAAACAGGTGCAACTTACAGATGAGGTTGGCAGTGGACAAACAATAATCCACACAGGCAGGAAAAATTAGTGGAGGTGAGGACAGTCCAAAAAACAAAACATGATGAAACCAAAGACGAACAGCAGAATAACCATGAATCCAAAAAGACAGAGAAAGTCCAAAATACTGTGAAGGCACAAGGAATACTGGTGGGACACGAGACACGAGGTAGCCACACTGAACATGCAAGGAATGAAAAGAACAGCCCAAGTAAACACACCAGGAAGGATGAACCGAATGGCAAGCAGGTGAAACACATCAGACAATCACACAGGGACAGGAAGTGCAGGTAGACAAGACAAGAGACAGAACACTACAAAATAACACAGGAAGGCAAGCACAGACGCGTGATGACAAAACAAATGTACAGCTGACAAAACCAAACATAACCACAGCCAAAGGACAGCAACACAGAGACAGAGTGTGACAAACACAAGAGGGAGGGCATAAACAAGGATAAAACAGGACCAAACAACATAAAAAAAACCCAAACCATAACGGTAAAGACTGATTTATGTCCATTAATTCAGCATTTTAACAACTTAACCATTGTAGATGCACTGCCAACCTGCATGATATATTGTTTTAGTGTGTTCAGCAGCATCCTGCTCTCACTGATTTCCTTTCTCGTTTTGTTCTATAAAGATTCAGCAGAATACATGTTATATGTCAACAGGTCAGGTCAATGCAGGACTACCATTTTTGGGAGTGGTTCCTTATTCGCTCCCTGAGGTTGCGAAGTAAGAACGTAAATTGGAGTACAAATTAAAACTCCCCCCAGGTTTCACAAACAGACAAAACCTCACATGTAGCCCAGGAAGGCCCTGAATAATTGAGTGGTACTGTTAACTCCACCACAGCAGCTCTCTGGCACTTTGGCATTACTTGTTGAATGAGGTTAGACTCTAACTCTTTAACCTCCACCACCCAAACTTTCTCACTTGACCCAAGAACTCCTCCCACGCTGACTTCGCCAACCTCTGGCCCCCCTTCACCCCCGATGTCACTTGCATCGAGGCAGCACACACACCTCTGAAGTACTTTAATTCCACTCAGTCCCTCCTGCTCTTCATTAGCCTGCCAGTCAGCCAATATCACAGAAGGTCATCTGGAATGGCTCTGTAGTAATAAAGAAGTCATATTGGAGTTCTGTCCGTCCCTATTCGTTACCAAGTCCAGAGAAAAAACTTCCCTGATAGTTGCACAATAAAGTCGTCTCATGTTGTATCGAAATTCAATAATAAGCTAGTGTTATTAGTCACATGTGCGCTGGGTCAAATGGAGCCTTTCCTTTTGTGCTGGTAATGAAAGCTGATTGCAATAAGAGATACTACACTTGTTACTACACAGTTAGGCTGATGAAAGTTGACACGGTGACAGCTGAACATCAAAACAGTGGGAAGCCATTGAGATCAAGAGAGACAACAACACAGTTTATTTTCAGAATGTGCTCAGAAATGTGTTTGTAGAAGCTGCAGATATGTGCTGAAATACTATGGCTTTTTTGCTTTTTACCAAAAGCTGATTCATGTGATTTTTTTTCCCAGCTACCAAAAGTCTCATAGCTAAATAAAGATATACTGGAGAGGTTTTACTTCATATTAATTTTTTCTAGGCCGTGCCCACTCTATTTTTTACCAGTGCAGGAAAAATGTACGGTCACTGCATCGCAGTCATAGCTACAGCTGTTCCTTTCAGCATTTACCTCAATACTCTCTTAATGTGTATGTGCCCGTCTGTCTCTCCATCATTCACTCAACCCGTCTGTCTGCCTGACGTAGAAAACTACCCAAGGCAGTCAAGGCTCACAGTGCGTGGGTGGTGGTATGATACATGACCAAAGGCAGTGAAAGGCTTGTGATCTCCCTTAGACAACAGGTTGCAAGCTGTCTCATTCCTGATAAACATCCACATTCAGCTCAACAACAGAAAGTCATTTAGCCTTTCTTCCCTAGTACATCGCCCCTGTGTTCAGGTTAGCCTGAGACGTGTTCCCGAGGCTAAGAGGAAAGGAGAGATAAGAGGCAGAAAAGCTGGGCGCAAGAGAGGAACAAAACAAGAGTGTAGAGCAAAGTGAAGGCCTCTGGCACCTAATGGCAGTGAGAAATGTCACAAGGAGGGAGAAGGATCAAGCGCACCACAGAGAGGTTGAAGCCCAAGAAAAAGGCAGGTGATGCCCCAACCCCACTCCTCAAGGCAGTGTGCCTTGACAAGCTGCTAACATGTTCCAGGTGGTTTTTCCAAAGAGCTGTCACTCACCTGCTATTCCTTCAGAGGCAGGGCGTTTGGATAGCAGCAGGCGGGAAGTAAAAGAGCTGAGATCAGGTTGATTCCCATTAGACCTCAATCTCTGCAGCTCAGATGGATCTTGGCAGAGATAGGGGGCGGTTGTTGATGGGATATTACACCCATCCCAAGGCACAAGTTGAGAATGTACAGCTCAAGAGGGTAAAAGAGAACTGTGGCACTGGAGTTAATTGAACAGGGCAGTAACATCCATCATCATGCCACACAGAGTTGTCCAGGGTGAAACAGAATTTCACAGTGTCACAGAAGTTCATGTAAAGGATAATTTAAGTATTTTAAAAGTGGGCCTCATTTTCACATATTGTTGAAATGATTAGTAGGTACAAAAAGTTTTGGAATCCGTGCAGTAGATGGCTTCGGCCGGCAGCTGTGAACCGACGTATTCCTTCAAGGCATTTGCGGCCGTCAAAATCACATCCACAAAAAGTGCTTCTTTTTGCAACTAGGAGGTTTAGACTGTTATATCAGGAGTCTGACAACATCGTGGAAAGGATCCCTACGAGTGACTCCCCATGACACCCAGAAACAGAAGTCTCGCTCAAGGACAATTCTCCCTCTGAAATCTCTTGACAGGCTAGCTGCTGCAAGAGAACATATTTTCCCCAAAATCTAGTAATGCTGGTATTTTTGGTATCATGTGCCCGTGTTTTGAGATGTCCATCTGTGAGATTTCTGCCATCACCCAGCATCCCTAGTTCTGCTCTTGAAATAATCAGAAATGACCATCTCAACAGCAACATAGGGGAACTCCACCGATTTTACACA